AAGGAAGCAGGCCAACTTCCTTCTTGATGCTGAATTGGAGTTCTACCAGCAAAAGGCAAAATGTGACTTTCTTATGAAGTCTGACAGGTGCACTTCTTACTTTCATTCGTTGGTCAAGAAGAATAGAAGGAAGAATGCTATCCCTTTTTTGATCAAGGAGGATGGAGCTAAAACCATTTCCAGTGATGAAGTAGCTAGTTGCTTCTTGGAGTACTACACTGGACTATTTGGGAACACTAGCCCAACTGAAACCATTAATGTTGCAATATTGGAAACGGGGAATTTGGTTCCCCTCTCTGCTCATTCTGCTTTGCTTGCTACTGTCACTATTGAGGAAGTAAAGGAAGTGGTCTTTGATATTGGAAACGACAAGGCCCCCGGCCCTGATGGGTACACTGCTGCCTTCTTCAAGAACCAGTGGGAAACTGTGGGTCAGGACGTCTTTGGAGCTATTTTGGAGTTCTTCACTACTAGTAAATTGCTTAAGCAGTTAAATCATGCTATGATTGTCTTGATTCCTAAAACTACTCACAACCCTACTGTGAAGGACTTTAGACCCATTTCATGTCTAAACGTCCTTTATAAAGTGATTACCAAAATCCTTGCTAGGCGTATGGCTCCTCTTCTCCCACAACTCATTGATCCAGCACAGGGGGCCTTTGTCCAGGGTAGATCACTAGTGGACAACCTCCTTCTGGCCCAACATTTGATCAGAGATTATGCCATCAAGAGGTCCACACCTAGTTGCATGATTAAACTGGATATCTCCAAAGCCTATGACACTGTCTCTTGGAGCTTTCTTGAGGAGGTGATGCTTGGCCTGGGCTTCCCAGTTACCTTCATTTCCTTCGTTATGGAGTGTGTGACTTCTGTCTCCTCGTCTATTATGGTTAATGGGGAAGGTCATGGCTTTTTCAGGAGCAAACGTGGGTTGAGACAAGGGGATCCTATGGCACCAACCCTTTTCCTTTTTTGTATTGAGTATCTCTCTAGATTACTCAACACTCGTGCTAAGGAGGGGCTGTTTTCCTACCACAAAAACTGTGCCTCCTTGGGTATTACACATTTGGCTTTTGCAGATGATATTATGCTTTTCTCCCGGGCAGACTTCCACTCAGTGCACATCCTTATGCATTCCTTGGAACACTTTTCAAGTGTTTCTGGTCTAACCTTGAATCCTACTAAGTCCAATATATTTATCGCTGGGAGACTTAGGGATGCTAGCCAAGACATCCTGGATTTGGCCCCCTTTCCTCGTGGACACCTCCCGGTTAGATATTTGGGACTTCCTCTGGCTTCACAAAGAATCTCTGAGAATGATTATGCTCCTCTCTTCAAATCTGTGGATGG